AGTTGAGGGATCAAAAAAGTGCAAAAAATTGTTAAGGGACCAAAAATGTGCAACTCACTAAAGTTGAGGGACCAAATTTAGCATTTAACCAAAAAAAAAATCACAAATTGCTTGATTGGAAAGTCTAAGAAGGCTCCATGCCAACCACTTGTATTATATGGCAGGCGCCAACATCATTGATCGATTTCAAGCATGAGGCTTTGTGTGGCGAAGACACGATTCATACTCTGATATAACGAAAAATATACATTAGAATTTTATATGCGACACGTACAAACTCTATGCTTTCATATATACTTCACAAGAAAACGACCTAAAACTCCCACCACGTGATTCCAATGTTCTATTGAGAGGAATCGTAATCAACGTCTATATCAATAATGACATTCTAATTTGGTTTTGGAAGCAAATGGAATCCGGAAAAGTAATATATGGATCCTTAGTTCTAGTTGCAGGGTTAGAAATTACTGTTAGAATTAATACTAATTTTTATTTTCCATAAAAATGGTTTATGGTTAGGAGATCGCATAGTTGAAAATTAATGTTCACTATGTACTTTAATAAAGACTTACAAAGATATTTATATGTTGTGAGACTAGAAACGTAAGAATAGAATTTATTTTTGAACTCTTAAATTATATAATAAAAAATAATTATTTTTTATTTATTAATTTCTTTCATTTGTAAAAAAAAATTAATTTTTTTATCCGTATGTCATACGATTCGAATTTATATTTTTTTTATTTCAATAAAAAAAATTATAACTTAATTATTTAAATTATTAGTAAAAAAATAAAACGTTTGTTAATATAATTAGTAATATTATAAGAAATATAATTTTCATTAATTATTCACTACAAGAAAATCCATATTTAGTGACTAAATTATTAGTCACTAAATCTTTATTTTCTGTTACAAACTAAAATTAGTGATAAAATTTAAATCATTAATAAAATTCTTATCGCTAATGTTCTTAGTAACGAATTTGACATTTATTATAGAAAAGAATTTTATAGTGATAAAAAAAATCTACATTATTAATGAGTTATTTGTAACGAATTTAATCATCACAAAAAAAAATTATTACAATAATTTTCATCACATAATGTTACAATTGAGTAACAAAAAAATAGTTACAAATGCAATTGTGATAAAAAATTTATTCATTAATTATTAAAATTGATATTAAATAAAAGCATAACCCTTAAATTCACCCTAAAAAAATATCGGTAGGGATACATCTACCTCTAAAAAAAAACAAAGACAAATTGCTCCTCAAAATCATAAATCAATACAAATTTGATATTTTTTTAGGGTGGATTTGAGGGTTTTACCTTAAATAAAAAAGATATTTATATAATTACAACATAAATATTATAACAAAAATTTTGTCACAAAAAATTAATATGTAAATTTATCACAAAAATTTAATAAAAAATACTATTATTTCTACACTATTCAATTTTGACTAAAATTAATCCAGCTTGATTAAAATTAATCAAGCCCAAATTAATCTCAAGTTTTATTGAGCTTTCACATGTTTTATAGTGCAAAAATTTATTTTTTTAAATATTTTTTATCGATGTGAGATATATTTATAGTACAAAATCTTATTCTCTTATATTTTTTTTATTGATGTGGAATGCATTGATTAGAAAAAATTGATAATTTTTAGTGACAAAATATATTTTTAGTGTTGAATTATTTGGTCATCATTGAATGTGTAAGGTATATGTGACCAATATTAGAATTCTGTCATAATTATAATAAATTATAGTGACTATTTTTATCGACAAAAGTTTATTTTATCTCTATGAATATTTTTTTATGATGAAATATATTTTTTATGATGAATTTTTTTCTTCATCATTAAATATGTTTGTATTTGTGATTAATTCTTTAAATTTGTCACAATTATGATAAATTATAATGATAATTTTAAAATTTATCATATTTTTAACATTAAAAATCATTTTTCTTGTAGTCATCTTGTGATACGAGATCTTTTTCCTTCAACTGTGTTGCAGTCTTGTGCAATGCATAGACAAGTTTAAGTATGAAATCTACCTGAAGTTCAGCTATGGCATTTATATATATTTACTACTATATCATCAATAAGATGAAATCTTCGTCGACGCGATTAATGTAAGATTTGTTCATGGTTGTACGTTATAGCTGGGACTGGGCGAGATATTAATACTGAGAGATACGTTGACTGTGAAATTGAGGGCGGAATTAATTGTGGAAAATCAACAGTGACGCAAATGTGGATGGCACATGCCGGCCCGCAACGCCAGCCGCTTTCCAGCAATCGAACCTCCGTTTCACACTCATTCTTCGTGGATTGTGATCCCAAGAAGCAGAGGGTTTGTTTCCATGCCGACATTTCATGCTTTCTTTCTTCCCAAATTACATGCATTGCATTTTCTAATCCATGTGGTTATAATTCCGAGGAAACTAATTCCGTTATTGAGGCATCAATAAGGAGTAGTACTTCACAAGATTAATAGTTTGACTAAAGATGGATTTATCTAACCTATACTTAATTAATGTGTATTAAATATTTTTGTCTTGTAATAAATTTTTATAAAAAAATGTAAAAATAAAACATTATTTTTAATATTAATATTATTTGAATGATTTTAATTGGATAGTTGATTAATTTAAAGTTAATTTTTATTTTTTTATATAAATTAATTAAAAAATATACAATTAATACTTTTTTAACTTCTACTTGAGGATACAAATTAGACAAGCCTAATAAAGATTTTGCACTCCCTTTTCAACCCTTCATTTCTCATTTCTTGTATTACCAGTACAATTAATTCGACCAATAAAAGTTTACTTGAATTAATGTTTATTAATTAAAAAATATTAATTTGAAGTTAAGATTATGAATTCATAACCTTTCCATGCAAAATAACTAACCTGCAAACTCTGTTCTATAAAAAAAATAAAAATGATATAATTATAATATCATATAATATTATAAATTTATAATATAATATATCATTGTATAATTAATTATTAAAAAATTTAATTATAATATTATATATATATTTATTTAATAATACATTATATTTATTTAATAATATTTTATAATCATAAACTTATAATTTTAAATTACATTATAATAATAGAATTATGAAAAAAAATTATACTTAATTTAAAATCATTTGACTTGTAACCCATCACCCTCATGATAGATACCAATAACAAAACGCCACGTCCCTGCTACAGCCACGCCGGATCCGCCTATGAACCAGCAAGAGTGCACCACATGAGTACATGACCACAAAACTCACACACAAACCCTCCCCAAGAGTCCCCACACCACGACGACCCCCCCACCACCTTTCTTGGTCCTAACGGCTCGCCAACCGCCCACGTTTTCCCACAATCCACATGCGCTCACTCTCACGCCCTCCCTTTTATATCCCCCACCCCATCCTCCTTGCCTTGTTCCGAAAATGTACTCCCTCCACGACCACACGCTCCACTGCCCCCTGCTGCCGCCCATCGGACGCAACTGGAAGTCCACCGTCGAGCTCGCCCCCAACTGCCCCCGCTGCGCCTCCTCCAACACTAAGTTCTGTTACTACAACAACTACAGCCTCTCCCAGCCAAGGTACTTCTGTAAAGGATGCCGGAGGTACTGGACCAAAGGTGGTTCTCTCAGGAATATCCCCGTCGGTGGCGGTTGCCGGAGGAATCGCCGCGCCAACTCTGCTAGGATTTCGCAAACCGATCGCGGTTCTAGTAAGACCTTGAATCGTTTTGTTCCGAACCGAAATTCGCCCGAGTCCGACCCGATGAGTGAAACCGGTTCTTCTAACGGATCCTCCGATATTGATTTGGCCGTCGTTTTTGCTAATTTCTTGAATAATAATAATAATGATGATGATGATGATGATGAGAGCGCAAGCTTTTCGCCGGATTTTGTCAGTCAAGAATCGGCGCCGGTGAATGAGACAAATTCGAATTCTTTGAAACCGGACGGCAGCCAGAATCCGTCCGATCCGATCCAGGAAATGCCGCAATTACTTGAAGGAAACATTCAGACGCGGCCGCAAGAACAGAGTGTGCAGGAATTCTGGGAAACGGACATGAACCCGTTCGGGTTGCAGAATTTGTTGAACGACGAAGCCGTACAAGATGCTCTGTGGCCTGACGCAGCTACAACGTCGACGGCGACGGCGGCGAACCTTTCGTGGCAGCCGGTGATGCAAATGCAAGAGTTCAATTCCTTCTCCGGCGATCACGATCTGCTGAAGAATTTTTCCGCGAATTTAGCAACTGATAATTGGAGTACTCACTTTGATCCAACAAATTTCGAGACTTTTTTCGAAACCTTAACGTAGAATTGGAAAATAATTTTGAGATAGTTTTTTTTGTTTTTGTTTTTATAATTTATTGAGTGATTGATTTTTATAATTTATATGAAATTATAATATTAAATGTATTTTTTTATTTAAAGGAATATTAAAATTATATTAAAAAAAATATAAAAAATTATAGCAGGAGTATGTAAAAATTTAATTAGTTATATGATATACTTTTTTTGTTTATTCTTAAATACCCTTTCCAACGGAAGTCTTGAGCACCGTACGCCGATGTATTCAAGGAATGTATACACATTTGAAGAAAATATATAATAAAGTCTATTATTAATTTTTCTTTTTGTTCTTTTGAATAAGATGCATAATGCATGAGAGAAGGTAATTAGTATTTATTAATTAGATTTATAAAAAAGGGAAAAATAACACTTAAAATATTTTAGTAAAAATATCGTAAAAAAATATTAAAATAAAAATTAAGATGTTTTAGTTTTTTTTAATATGAAATATTAATTAAAACTACATAATTTTTTTGTACGTTGTATACATTTTTTTCTTTATAGAAAAAGAATGTTTTAGTTTTATAAAACTTCTTGCTTAAACTTAAATTTTTTTACTCTCACTAATAACTTAAGTAACTTAATAATAATTTTTAAAAAATTTTAAATTTAAATAGTATAATATATAAGTAAAATGATATGATTTAATGAATGAAAAAAAAATGTATTTTATTATGCAACCGAAAAAAAATATTATTACTTTTTCCAGTATGAACTAAATTGGAGTCCAAGCAACGAACTTCCATAACAATTTGTTCATCACCAAAAAAAAAAAAGAAAAAAAAAATTCCATCATCATTTATCACCAATAGATTCAAGAGATTGACGCTCTCCGCCATTGGATGAGGGTTATGCATATACATATTTAGATGCAGGGATGGGCAATATATAGCATGTGCAGGCGACGTACAAGAGGGCACATATGACATGCCCATTTAGGAAAAATCGGGTTTGGACTTAGGAGGATGAATGTGTTTAGTGGTGAAATGATTTGCGCCATTTATTTAACGTAATTCATTGATTCAAAAATTTCTGCTCCATTCCCTCCATTTCATAATATGTCTATGGCCTAAATAGTTTTTTTCTTTTTTCCTTTTTCCTATGATAGGTAGTGTTTGAATAGTCTAATTGGAGGTAAATAGTCTTTTCTTTTAATTTTTATTGCTTTGTGTTACGGTTGGATAATGACCTAACAGTTTTTTGTGAATTTAAAAGTCTCAGGTTTTGTTTTTAATTTTTTTTTTATTTTAATTGTATAATGAGAGTGATCCATCTCTCATTTTTTATCTTATTTTATCCGTATATTATATGATTTAAACTCAAAATTTTTTATTTATAATAAAAAAATAACCACTAAATTATTTAGATCGTCAACAAAAACCTGATATTAGATTTATCTAAAAAGAAACTTTTAATGTGGAGACTATTCATTCATAGACAAGTGGACGAATAGAGAAAAACTCTCCGTCATGTTGGTGTAAGTGTTGTAAATATCTTACAACCACCCAAGTACCAATATTATTTATCACATTTTTCTCTTATTCTTTAGTAAAGAGCCTTTCTGTTTAGAGTTCACGTCACATGTTATTGTTGATGTGGGCGTTGGAGTATCTTCGGCAGAGAAAGAGGACATTTGCCATTATGGCTTAGGGCCTGAGGCCAATGACAAACCGAACCTGACCTGGGCAGTTTTTGCTTCTACATTGTCTACAACAGTACAACTACAAAATTAAATAATAATAATAATAATGATTCACACTGAGATTATTACAATAACAATTAATTCGAATAAAAAAATTAAAAAAAAATGACATATATTGCGAAACTAAAGGAGTGATTAAGAGTCCATTTAGTAATAGTTTTTCTTTTAGTTTTTTTTCAATGAAAAATAGAATTTTATTGATATATGAAAATTCTAATATTATAAAATCAACCTGAATGAGTTAATAGTTACATCAAAGGTATTACACTTATATATAATGCATAAAAATATAAAATTAAATAATCTACTGCTTACTTAAATATTATAATCAAATTAAAATATAAAATTTTATGATTAAGTCGCATTCTAATAT